GCGATAAGTTGGCTTAATACTCTCCATTGGTAGTATCTGCGCTTTGTGAGCTGCCGGGTCGGGTGTCTGTCGAACTCTCTGCTTGCAGAGAGGAACCCGGACGAAGCTCCGCCGAAGGGTAGGGGTTTCGTTGGGGAGGTTGTCGGAACTGGCCCGCCTCGGCGGGTTTGATGGTTATTTATTTTTGGCTAGCCCTACGGGCTCAGAGATACCCACATTAAAAAGGCCTTGCGCCACATTCGATCCCCGTGGGTGGATTGATAAATACCATACTCTCCATTGGTGATTACTTTGATAGCTTTCCGTAACTGCTTCAGTTAGTTGGTATAGTACTCTCCATTGATGATAGCTTTGATAACCCTCCGTAACTGCTTCTGGAAGTTGGCTTGGTACTCTCCGTTGATTATAGCTTTGATAGCGTTCTGTAAATGTTGCAATGAGTTGCATAGTACTATCCTTTTATGATAGATTTGATAGCCTTCCGTAATTACTGCAATAAGGTAGCATAGTACTCTCCAGTGATGATAGCTTTGATTGCCATCCGTAGCTGCTGCAAAAAGTTGGCATAGTACTCTCCATAAATGATAACTTTGATCGACATTCTTAACGACTTCAGTAAGTTGGCATATTACCCTCCATTGATAATAGAATCATAGCCATCCGTAACTGCTTCAGTAATTTGGCATAGTACATTCCATTGGTGATAGCTTTGATAGCCTTCAGTGACTGCTGCAATAAGTTGGCATTGAACTCTCCATTAATGATAGCTTTAATAGCCATCCGTAACTGCTTCAGTAAGTTGGCATAATACTCTCCATCGATGCTACCTTTGATGGCCCTCCGTAACTACTTCTGGAAGTAAGCATAGTACTCACCATTGATGATATCTTTGACTACCATTCGTAATGGCTTCAGTAAGTTGGCATAGTACATTCCATTGGTGATAGCTTTGATAGCCTTTCTTTAACTGCTCCAGTAAGTCGGCCTTTCTTTAACTGCTTCAGGAAGTTGGCCTTTCTTTAACTGCTTCAGGAAGTTGGCATAGTCCTTTCGATTGATTATTGCTTTGATAGCAATCTGTATCTGCTCCAGTAAGTTGGCATAGTTCTCTCCGTTGATAATAGGTTTCGTCGCCATCCATAACTGTTAGTTGGCATAGTACATTCCGCTGGTGTTAGCTTTTATAGGCTCCTGTAACTGCTTCAGTAAGTTGGCTTAATACTCTCCATTGATGATAACTTTAATAGTGTTCCATACCTGCTTCGGTATGTCGGTATAATACTCTCCTTTGATGAGAGATTTGATAGCCTTCCATAACTGCTCCAGGAAGTTGGCATATTATTCTCCACTAATGATTGCTTTGATAACCAGTATTAACTGTTGCAATAAGTTACTCTCCATTAATTATAGCTTCGATATCTATCCGTAATTGCCTGAGGAAGTTGGCATAGTAGTCCCAATTAATGAAACCTTTCATAGCCTTCAGTAACTGCTTCCAGACGTTGGCATAGTCCTCTCCATTGATGATAGTTTTAATAGCCCTCAGTAACTGCTTCAGAAGTTGGCATAGTACGTTCCATATATCATAGCGTTGATAGCCTCCTGTAAATTCTGCAATAATTTGGCATAGTACTCTGCACTGATGATAGCTTTGTTAACCCGCCGTAACGGCTTCAGTAAGTTGGCATAATGCTCTTCATTGAGGATAGTTTTGATAGCACTCCGTAACTGTTTCTGGAAGTTCGCATAGTATTCTCCATTGACGATAGCTTTCATAGCCTTCCGTAAATGCTGCAATGAGTTGCATAGTTTTCTCCATTTGATAGCCTTCTGCAATGATCCAGGATGTTGGTATAGTACTCTCCATTGATAATAGCTTTGATATCCTTCCATAAATGATGCAATATGTTGGTATTACACATTCCAATGATTGTAGCATTCCGTAACGGCTTCATTAAGTTAGCAGCGTACTCTCCATTGGTGATAGCTTTAGTAGCCTTCCCTAACAGCTTCAGTATGTTGGAATAGTGCTCTTCAATAATCAAAGATTTAATAGACTTCCGTAACTGCTTCTGGATGTTGGGATACAACTCTCCATTGATGATAGCTTTCCGTAACTGCTTTAGGAAATTGGCATAGTACTCTCTATTGATTATAACTTTGATAGCCATCCGTAACTGCCTCTGGAAGTTGTCATAGTACTCTCCATTGACGATAACTTTGATAGCCATCCGTAACTGCTTCAGGAATTTGGCATAGTTTTCTCCATTGATGATAGCTTTCATAGTTCTCCGTAACTGCTTCAGCAAGTTGGCATAGTATTCTCCATTGCTTATTGCTTTGATAGCCTTCCGTACCTGCTTCATGAATTTGCATAGTAATCTCCATTAATGATAGCTTTGATAGCCTTCCGTAACTGCTTTAAGTTGGCATAGTAGTTTCCATTGATTATGTGACTTTTGAATTTTGCCCATAAATACAATGCATTTTACTTTTAAAATATTACTGGAGCCATTACCTTTAATGTAGTTGAAATAATCTTGTTCTTCTTTCGTTAAGGTGCGTAAATGCATTTCCACTGCATGTATAGCAAATTGTTGATCCCTATACTTAGTATATTTTAGGAATATTTCAAAGAAAGCAGCTTCATCTGCGTCAAACGATGTCAGATTTTCGCTTGATGGGATTAGCCTGGGGCGCCCACCATGCAGAAAACGTCGTCATTCCAAGTTCATTGTGCAGGTTATTCTCAACCCTCTCATAGGATATGCTAATAGCATTGGCTATTTTTTTTATAACTAATCACCTGTCATCCATTAGCACGTGGTGAACATGATCATTGTTTTCCTCGGTGGTGGCAATTGCAGGACATCCAGACCTTGGGTCATATTCAAGACACTCTTTTCCTCTCTAATATTCCGCTGCCACTTCTAATTGTAATTTAAATATCTGATCCATGTCCCCTTTTGGTTAATATCCGGATACAATGTCCTTATTGAACAAACCCTTTTTGCCACTTTGACAGTAAAAAATTTTACCAAATAAAACAAATGTTCATTACCAAATTTGGTATAGACGTTACATTTTTAAAAAATTCAAAATAAACTCAGATTTCAGTTTAGCGTTCAAAAAAATAACTCATTTTTAATAGCATTTTGAATACAATTTATATTTTCACCATTATTACTAAGAAGAAAAACCAAGAACAACATCTTTTATATACCTGACGATGTCTGCTGAATAACAGACGAAGGGTTTTAAAAAATAACAACTAATACGGCAAAAATTTATATAAACAAGGATACTCATGCATAACGGATTTAGAGGTTTTTGTGTAAACTTTGAATCGTTTGGTAGATGGATGTCTTGCCATTTAAATCATTAACCTTTGCATTAGTTTTTGTATGAATAATTCATGTATTTGTAAATTGATTGCACGTTTATTGTAATATATATATATATATATATATATATATATATATATATATATATATATATATATATATATATATATATATATATATATATATATATAATTCCAATAATCTCCACAAAAAAGTGGATAAGATGGGACAAATTGTAAAAGCTATAACGACGTCTGTTGGTTTAAGAAACCAACAGACTTCGGCGAAACGCGTCGTTTATAATTTATTTTCTCTTCGTCCATCAACTTCGTATATATATATATATATATATATATATATATATATATATATATATATATCGTAAAGGTAATTAATCCGTTGGTATATAATCCAAGTTGATTCTATAATATAAAATATTAAAACTGATCCACAAAAAGACCTCAATGTATATATTATTACAGAGCAAATAATTAGAAAGGAAATCCCAAATCTCCTCCTATGGGGAATAGCCTATTTCGGCAGGCGAAAATATCGGCCGTCTGTCTTATCAACCCTGGTGTGGACTGACTTCATGTCAGAAATAGAAATTAAACTGTGAAAGAATAAGAAAAAAGTAGTCGAAAAATCAACACAGGATTTATCCATTTCAAAGTTTCAGGCAGACGAAAGTCACGGGACAGGGTCGGTGTGTGGGGTGGTTGGTGGAAGGTATTTGTCTTAAAGGGAAGAATTTTTATAAAATTAAACCTGAATATGAACCTTATGACATTAATTTGTTGTTATATGAATAATGAAATATTGATTTAAATTTAAAATAGGGATAAAAAAGGGGTTTAAGAATAACTTTAACATATATACCTCTCTATATATCTCTGAGATGGGGTATTATGATTACTTGCATTATTTACATTACTCGGACTGTTATCCTCATCTTCATTGCCACGTTCAAAACGTTTCGGCAGTTGTAAGCATGGCCTTCTTCAGGTGATTGGAATTTCGAACCGAATCCTTTATTTCGTCCATCGGGGAGGATTGTTCTAGTAACAGGTCACAGAAGTGGTGAACCAAAACTTGGAGAGTTGAGTTAAAGAGAAATAACTGAGACACCCGGAAAAGAGAAGAGAGAACACGGAAAAGAGAAGAGAAAACCCGGAAAAGAGAAGAGATAACCTGGAAAAGAGAAGAGAGAACCCGGAAAAGAGAAGAGAGAAACCGGAAAAGAGAAGAGAGAACCCGGAAAAGAGAAGAGAGAACCTGGAAAAGAGAAGAGAGAACCCGGAAAAGAGAAGAGAGAACCTGGAAAAGAGAAGAGAGAACCTGGAAAAGAGAAGAGAGAACCCAGAAAAGAGAAGAGAGAACCTGGAAAAGAGAAGAGAGAACCTGGAAAAGAGAAGAGAGAACCCGGAAAAGAGAAGAGAGAACCTGGAAAAGAGAAGAGAGAACCTTGGAAAACCTGGAAAGAACCCCGAAAAGAGAAGAGAAACCTGGAAAAGAGAAGAGAGAACCTGGAAAAGAGAAGAACCTGGAAAGAGAAGAGAGAACCTGGAAAGAGAAGAGAGAACCTGGAAAGAGAAGAGAGAACCGGGAAAGAGAAGAGAGAACCTGGAAAAGAGAGAAACCTGGAAAGAAGAGAACCTGGAAAAAAGAAGAGAGAACCCGGAAAAGAGAAGAGAGAACCCGGAAAGGGAAGAGAGAACCTGGAAAAGAGAAGAGAGAACCCGGAAAAGAGAAGAGAGAACCTGGAAAGAGAAGAGAGAACCTGGAAAAGAGAAGAGAGAACCGGAAAAGAGAAGAGGGAACCTGGAAAAGAGAAGAGAGAACCCCTGGAAAAGAGAAGAGAGGAAAGAAGAGAACCTGGAAAAGAGAGAAGAGAGACCTGGAAAAGAGAAGAGAGAACCTGGAAAAGAGAGAAGAGAACCCGGAAAAGAAAGAGAGAACCTGAAAAAGAGAAGGAAAACGGAAAAGAGAAGAGAAACCTGGAAAGAGAAGAGAGAACCTGGAAAGAGAAGAGACCTGGAAAAGAGAAGAGAGAACCTGAAAGAGAAGAGAACCTGAAAGAGAAGAGGACCCGGAAAAGAGAAGAGAGAAACCTGGAAAAGAAAAGAGAGAACCTGGAAAGAAGAGAGAAACTGGAAAAGAAGAGAGAACCTGGAAAAAGAGAAGAGAGGACCCGGAAAAGAGAAGACCTGAAAGAGGAAACACCTGAAGAGAGAACCTGGAAAGAGAAGAGAGAAACCTGGAAAGAGAGAAGAGAGAACCTGGAAAAGAGAAGAGAGACCCAGAAAAGAGAAGAGAAACCGGAAAGAGAAGAGAGAACCTGGAAGAGAAGAGAGAACCTGGAAAGAGAGAGAACCTGGAAAAATAGAAGAGAACCGGAAAAAAAAGAAGAGAGAACCTGGAAAAGAGAACCGGAAAAGAGAAGAGAGAACCTGGAAAAGAGAAGAGAACCTGAAAAGAAAGAGAACCTGGAAAAGAGAAGAGAGAACCTGGAAAAAGAGAACCTGAAAGAACCAGAAAAGAGAAGAGAGAACCTGGAAAAGAGAAGAGAGAATGGAAAAGAGAAGAGAACCTGGAAAAGAGAAGAGAGAACCTGAAAAGAGAAAACACGGAAAAGAGAACCTGGAAAGAGAAGAGAGAAAAAGAAAAGAGAGAAACCTGGAAAGAAGAGAGAACCTGGAAAGAGAAGAGAGAACCAAGAAAAGAACCTGAAGAACCTGGAAAAAGAGAAGAGAGAACCGGAAAAAGAGAAACCTGGAAAAGAAAGATAAGAGAACCTGAAAAGAGAAGAGAGAACCTGGAAGAGAAGAACCTGGAAAGAGAACGGAAAAGAGAGAACCTGAAAAGAGAAGAGAGAAACCTGAAAAGAACCTGAAAAGAGAACCCGGAAAAGAAGAGAGAGAGAAAAGAGAAGAGAGAACCCGGAAAAGAAAAGAGAACCGGAAAGAGAAGAGAGAACCTGGAAAAGAGAAGAGAACCTGGAAAGAGAAGAGAAAGAAGAAGAGAGAACCTGGAAAAGAAGAGAGAACCTGGAAAAGAGAACCTGGAAGAGAACCTGGAAAGAGAAGAGAAAACAGAAACCTGGAAAAGAAAGAGAGAACCGGAAAAAGAGAAGAGACCTGGAAAGAGAACCTGGAAAAGAAGAGAAACCTGGAAAAGAGAAGAAGAGAAAACCTGGAAAAGAGAAGAGAAACCTGGAAAAGAAAAGAGAGAACTGGAAAAGAGAAACCTGAAAAGAGAAGAGAGAACCTGAAAAAGAAAGAGGAAAGACCGAAAAGAGAAGAGAAGAGAGAAAAAGAGAAGAGAGAACCTGGAAAAGAGAAGAAGAACCTGGAAAGAGAACCTGGAAAAGAGAAGAGAGAACCCTGAAAAGAGAAGAAGAACCTGGAAAAGAGAGAACCTGGAAAGAAGAGAGAACCTGGAAAAGAAGAGAACCCGGAAAGAGAAGAGAGAACCTGGAAAAGAGAAGAGAGAACCTGGAAAGAGAAGAGAGAACCTGGAAAAGAGAACCTGGAAAAGAGAAGAGAACCCAGAAAAGAAAAGAGAACCCGGAAAGAGAACCTGGAAAAGATAAGAGAGAACCTGGAAAAGAGAAGAGAACCCTGAAAAGAGAAGAGAAACCTGGAAAAGAGAAGAGAACCTGAAAAGATAAGAGAGAACCTGGAAAGAGAAGAGAGAACCTGGAAAAGAGAAGAGAGAAACCGGAAAGAGAAGAGAGAACCTGGAAAAAGAGAACCTGAAAAGAAAAGAGAACCTGAAAAGAGAAGAACCTGGAAAAGAGAAGAGAGAACCTGGAAAAAGAAGAGAGAACCTGGAAAAGAGAGAGAACCGGAAAAGAGAAGAGAGAACCCGGAAAGAGAAGAGAGAACCCTGGAAAGAGAAGAGAGAACCTGAAAAAGAAGAAGAACCTGGAAAAGAAACCTGGAAAAGAGAAGAGAGAACTCAAAAAGAACCTGGAAAGAGAAGAGAGAACCTGGAAAAGAGAAGAGAGAACCTGAAAAGAGAAGAGAAACCTGGAAAAGAGAAGAGAGAACCTGGAAAAAAAGAGAACCTGGAAAGAGAAGAGAGAACCTGGAAAGAGAAAACCTGGAAAGAGAAGAGAGAACCTGGAGAAGAGAGAACCTGGAAAGAGAGAGAACCGGAAAAGAGAAGAGAAACCTGGAAAAGAGAAAAAGAGAGAAACCTGGAAAAGAAGAGAGAACCGGAAAAAGAAGAGAGAACCTGAAAAGAGAAGAGAGAACCTGAAAGAGAAGAGAGAACCTGGAAAAGAAAGAGAGAACCCGGAAAGAGAAGAGAGAACCTGGAAAAGAAGAGAGAACCTGGAAAGAGAAGAGAGAACCTGAAAAGAAGAGAGAACCTGGAAAAGAGAAGAGAGAACCGGAAAAGAAAGAGAAAAGGAACCTGGAAAAAGAAGAAACCTGGAAAAGAGAAGAGAGAACCTGGAAAAGAAGAAGAAAGAGAACCTGGAAAAGAGAAGAGAGAACCTGGAAAAGAGAAGAGAGAACCTGGAAAAGAGAAGAGAGGAAAGAGAAGAGAACCTGGAAAGAGAAGAGAGAACCGGAAAAGAGAAGAGAGAACCTGGAAAAGAGAAGAGAGAACCTGGAAAAGAAGAGAGAACCTGGGAGAACCTGAAGAGAACCTGGAAAAGAGAAGAGAGAACCTGGAAAAGAAAAAGAGAGAACCTGGAAAAGAAAGAGAGAACCGGAAAAGAGAAGAGAAACCTGGAAAGAGAAGAGAAGAACCGGAAAAGAGAAGAGAGAACCTGGAAAAGAGAAGAGAGAACCTGGAAAAGGAAAGAGAGAACCTGGAAAAGAAAAGAAAGAAAAGAAGAGAGAACCTGGAAAAGAGAAGGAAAAGAGAACCTGAAAACCTGGAAAGAGAAGAGAGAACCTGGAAAAGAGAAGAGAGAACCTGGAAAAGAGAAGAGAGAACCTGGAAAAGAGAAGAGAGAACCTGGAAAAGAGAAGAGAGAACCTGGAAAAGAGAAGAGAGAACCCGGAAAAGAGAAGAGAACCTGGAAAAAGAGAAGAGAGAACCTGGAAAAGAGAAGAAACCCGGAAAAAGAAGAGAACCTGGAAAAGAGAAGAGAGAACCTGGAAAAGAGAGAGAACCGGAAAGAAGAGAGAACCTGGAAAAGAAAGAGAGAACCTGGAAAAGAAAGAGAAGAGAAGAACCTGGAAAAGAAGAACCTGAGAACCCGAAGAGAGAGACCTGAAAAGAGAAGAACCTGGAAAGAGAAGAGAGAACCTGGAAAAAAAAGAGAACCCGGAGAGAGAAGAGAACCTGGAAAGAGAAGAGAACCCGGAAAAAGAGAAGAGAGAACCTGGAAAAACTTGAGAAGAAGAAACCTGGAAAGAACCGAAGAGAGAACCTGGAAAGAGAGAACCTGGAAAGAGAGAGAACCTGGAAAAGAGAAGAGAGAACCCGGAAAAAAGAAGACCTGAAAGAAAGAAGAACCGGAAAGAGAAGAGAGAACCGGAAAGAGAAGAGAGAACCTGGAAAGAGAATAGAGAACCGGAAAGAGAAGGAAAGAACCTGGAAAAGAGAAGAAGAGAGAACCTGGAAAAGAGAAGAGAGAAGAACGGAAGAGAGAACCTGGAAAAGAGAAGAGAGAACCAGGAAAGAGAAGAGAGAACCTGGAAAAGAAAGAACCGGAAAGAAAAGAGAGAACCTGGAAAGAGAAGAGAACCCTGGAAAAGAAAAGAGAGAAACCTGGAAAAGAGAAAGAAGAGAACCTGGAAAAGAGAAGAGAGAACCTGGAAAAGAGAAGAGAGACGGAAAAGAAGAAGAGAGAACCTGGAAAGAGAAGAGAGAACCTGAAAGAGAACCTGGAAAACCTGGAAGAAACCTGGAAAGAAGAGAGAAACCTGGAAAAAGAGAGAACCTGGAAAAGAACCTGGAAAGAGAAGAGAGAAAAGAAAAGAAAAGAGAAGAGAGAACCTGGAAAAGAGAAGAGAGAGAAAAGAGAAGAGAGACCTGGAAAGAGAAGAGAGAACCTGGAAAAGAGAAGAGAGAACCCGGAAAAGAGAAACCTGGAAAGAAGAGAGAACCTGGAAATAGAAGAAGAACCTGAAAAGAGAGAGAACCCAGAAAAGACCTGGAAAAACCTGGAAGAGAGAACCTGGAAAAGAGAAGAGAGAACCTGGAAAAGAGAAAAGAGAAACCTGGAAAGAGAACCTGAAAGAAAGAGAGAACCCAGAAAAGGAAAGAGAACCTGGAAAAGAGAACCTGGAAAGAGAAGAGAGAACCTGGAAAACGAGAAGAAGAACCGAGAAAAAGAGAACCTGGAAAAAGAGAAGAGAGAACCTGGAAAAGAGAAGAGAGACCGGAAAAGAGAAGAGAGAACCTGGAAAAGAGAAGAGAGAACCTGGAAAAAGAGAGAGAACCTGGAAAAGAACCTGAAAAGAGAGAACCCGGGAAAGAGAAGAGAGAGAAACTGGAAAAGAGAAGAGAGAACCTGGAAAAGAAGAGAGAACCGGAAAGAGAACCTGGAAAAGAAAAGAAACCTGAAAAGAGAAGAGAAACCGGAAAAGAGAACCTGGAAAAGATAAGAGAGAACCGGAAAAGAAAAGAGAAAGAGAGAGAACCGAAAAGAGAGAAGAGAGAACCTGAAAAAGAGAAGAGAAACCCTGAAAAGAGAAGAGAGAACCTGGAAAAGAGAAGAGAAACATGGAAAAAGAGAACCTGGAAAGAGAACCTGGAAAAGAAAGAGAGAACCTGGAAAAAACCTGGAAAAGAGAAGAGAGAACCCGGAAAAGAGAAGAGAACCTGGAAAGAAGAAGAGAACCGGAAAGAGAAGAGAACCTGGAAAGAGAAGAGAGAACCTGGAAAGAAGAGAGAACCTGAAAGAGAACTAAGAGAGAACCTGGAAAGAGAAGAGAGAACCTGGAAAAGAGAACCTGAAAAGAGAACCTGGAAAGAGAAGAGAGAACCTGAACTTGGAAAGAGAGAACCTGGAAAGAGAAGAGAGAACCTGAAAGAGAAAGAGAGAACCTGGAAAGAGAAGAGAGAACCTGGAAAGAGAAGAGAACACGGAAAAGAGAAGAGAGAACCTGGAAGAAGACCTGGAAAGAGAAGAGAGAACCCGAAAAGAAAGAGAGAACCCCTGGAAAAGAGAGAAGAGAGAACCTGGAAAGAGAGAACCTGGAAAAAGAGAAGAGAGAACCTGGAAAAGAGAAGAGAGAACCTGGAAAAGAGAAGAGAGAACCTGGAAAAGAGAGAGACCTGGAAAAGAGAAGAACCTGAAAGAGAAGAGAGAACCGGAAAGAAAAGAGAACCTGAAAGAGAAGAGAGAACTCCTGGAAATAGAAGAGAGAACCTGGAAAAAAGAGAGAACCCGGAAAAGAGAAGAGAGAACCTGAAAAGAAGAGAAACCTGAAAGAGAACCCTGGAAAAAAGAGAACCCGAGAGAAGAGAGAACCTGAAAAGAGAAGAGAGAACCGAGAGAAGAGAGAACCTGGAAAAGAAAGAGAACCTGAAAGAAAGAGAGAACCCGAAAAGAAAGAGAAACCTGGAAAAGAGAAGAGAGAACCTGGAAAAGAGAAGAGAGAACCTGGAAAAGAGAAGAGAGAACCTGGAAAAGAGAAGAAAGAAAGAAGAAAAAGAGAAGAGAGAACCTGAAAAAGAGAAGAAGAACCCGGAAAAAGAAAGAGAGAACCCGGAAAAAGAAGAGAGACCTGAAAAGAGAAGAGAACCGGAAAAGAGAACCTGGAAAGATAAGAGAGAACCCGGAAAGAGAAGAGAGAACCTGAAAGAGAGAAACCCGAAAAAGAGAAGAGAGAACGGAAAAGAGAAGAGAGAACCCAAAAAGAGAAGAGAGAACCTGAAAAGAACCTGAAAAGAAAGAGAGAAAAGAGAAGAGAGAACCTGGAAAAGAGAAGAGAAACCTGGAAAGAGAAGAGAGAAACCTGGAAAGAAGAGAGAACACGGAAAAGAGAAGAGAACCTAGAACGAGAAGACCTGGAAAAGAGAAGAGAACCCAGAAAAGAGAAGAGAGAACCTGGAAAAGAGAAACCTGAAAGAGAAGAACCCGGAAAAAGAAAGAGAACCTGGAAAAGAGAAGAAAAGAACCCAGAAAAGAGAAGAGAGAAACCTGAAAGAAAGAGAGAACCTGGAAAAGAGAAGAGAGAACCCAGAAAAGAGAAGAGAGAACCTGGAAAAGAGAAGAGAGAACCTGGAAAAGAGAAGAGAGAACCCGGAAAAGAGAAGAGAGAACCCAGAAAAGAGAAGAGAGAACCTGGAAAAGAGAAGAGAGAACCCGGAAAAGAGAAGAGAGAACCTGGAAAGAGAAGAGAGAACCTGGAAAAGAGAAGAGAGAACCCAGAGAAGAGAGAACCTGGAAAAGAGAACCTGGAAAAGAGAAGAACCCGAAAAGAGAAGAGAGAACCTGAAAAACCCAGAAAAGAGAAGAGAGAACCTGGAAAAGAGAACCCCCGGAAAAGAGAAGAAAGAGAGAACCCCAGAAAAGAGAGAGAACCCGGAAAAAGAGAAGAGAGAACCTGGAAAAGAGAAGAGAGAACTGGAAAGAGAAGAGAGAAAAGAACCTGGAAAAGAGAGAACCCGAAAAAAAGAAGAGAGAACCTGGAAAGAGAAGAGAGAAAAGAGAAGAGAGAACCGGAAAGAGAAGAGAGAACCTGAAAAGAGAAGAGAGAACCTGAAAGAGAGAAGAAAAGAAAGGAACCTGAAAAGAGAAGAGAGAACCTGGAAAAGAACCTGAAAAGATAAAAGAGAACCCGGAAAAGAGAAGAGAGAACCTGAAAAGAGAAGAGAGAACCTGAAAAAGAGAAGAGAGAACCCGGAAAAAGAGAAGAGAACCCGAAAAGAGAAGAGAGAACCCAGAAAGAAGAGAGAACCGGAAAAAGAGAGAACCTGAAAGAGAACCTGAAAAGAGAAGAGAGAACCGGAAAACCTGAGAAGAGAGAACCTGGAGAGAGAGAACCAGAAAAGAGACCTGGAAAAGAGAAGAGAGAACCTGAAAAAGAGAAGAGAGAACCTGGAAAAGAGAGAAGAAGCTGAAAAGAGAAGAGAGAACCTGGAAAAGAGAAGAGAGAACCTGAAAAGAGAAGAGAGAAACCCAGAAAAGAAAGAGAGATCCTGAAAGAAGAAGAACTGGAAAAGAGAAGAGAACCGGAAAGAGAAGAGAGAGAACCTGGAAAAGAGAGAGAACCCTGGAGAAGAGACCGAAAAAGAGAGAAGAGAACCTGGAAAAGAGAAGAGGAGAAAAGAGAGAACCGGAAAAGAAGAGAGAAAGAGAAGAGAGAACCCTGGAAAGAGAACCGGAAAAGAGAAGAGAGAACCCGAAAAGAAAAGAGAAGAGAACCTGGAAAAGAGAAGAGAGAACCTGGAAAAGAGAACCTAAAAGATAAGAGAGAACCTGGAAAAGAGAAGAGAGAACCTGAAAAGAAAAGAGAGAACCTGAAAAAGAGAAGAGAGAACCCGAAAAAGAGAGAGAGAACCAGAAAAGAGAACCCGAAAAAGAACCCCTGGAAAAGAGAAGAGAACCTGGAAAAGAGAAGAGAGAACCCGGAAAAGAGAAGAGAGAACCTGGAAAAGAGAAGAGAGAACCTGGAAAAGAGAACCTGGAAAAGAGAAGAGAGAACCCGGAAAAGAGAAGAGAGAACCCGGAAAAGAGAAGAGAGAACCTGGAAAAGAGAAGAGAAGAGAGAACCTGGAAAAGAGAAGAAAAGAGAAACCTGGAAAAGAGAAGAGAACCTGAAAAGAGAAGAGAACCTGGAAAGAGAAGAGAGAACCTGAAAGAGAACCTGAAAAGAGAAGAGAGAAACTGGAAAAGAGAAGAGAACCTGGAAAAGAGAAGAGAGAACCTGGAAAAGAGAGAGAACCTGGAAAAGAGAAAAGAGAAGAGAGAACCCAGAAAAGAGAAGAGAAACCCAGAAAAGAGAAGAGAGAACCTGGAAAAGAGAAGAGAGAACCTGAAAAGAGAGAGAACTCAGAAAGAGAAGAGAGAACTTGGAAAAGAGAAGAGAAGAGAGAAAAGAGAAGAGAGAAGAGAGAACCTGGAAAAGAGAACCTGGAAAAGAGAACCTGGAAAAAAGAGAAAAGAGAACCTGGAAAAGAGAACCTGGAAAAAGAGAAGAGAACCTGGAAAAGAGAAGAGAGAACCCGAAAAGAAAAGAGAGAACCTGGAAAGAGAGAACCTGAAAAAGAGAAGAGAGAACCTGGAAAAGAGAAGAACCTGAAGAGAAGAGAGAAATCGGAAAAGAGAAGAGAGAACCTGAAAAGAGAAAAGAGAACCCGAAAAGAGAAGAGAACCCTGGAAAGAGAAGAGAGAACCTGAAAAGAGAAGAGAGAACCTGGAAAAGAGAAGAGAACCTGAAAAGAGAAGAGAGAACCCAGAAAAAGAGAGAACCTGAAAAGAGAAGAGAGAACCTGGAAAGAGAGAAAAGAGAGAAAGAGGAAGAACTGGAAAAAGAAGAGAACCTGGAAAGAGAAGAGAGAACCTTGAAAAGAGAAGAGAGAACCTGAGAAGAGAGAACCTGGAAAAGAGAACCTGAAAAAGAGAAGAGAGAACCTGAAAAGAGAAGAGAGAACCTTGGAAAGAGAAGAGAGAACCCCTGAAAAGATAAAGAGAGAAGAGAGAACCTGAAAAGAAAAGAGAGAAAAGAGAACCTGAAAAGAGAAGAGAAAAAGAGAAGAGGAGAACCTCGGAGAAGAGAGAACCTGAAAAGAGAAGAGAGAACCTGAAAAGAGAAGAGAGAGAACCTGAAAAGAGAAGAGAGAACCGGAAGAGAGAACCTGAAAAGAGAAGACAGAACCAAAAGAGGAAGAGAGAACCTGAGAAGAGAGAAGAAAAAAGAGAAGAGAGAAACCTGAGAAGAAGAGAGAACCTGAAAAAGAGAAGAGAGAACCTGGAAAAGAGAAGAGACCTGGAAAAGAGAAGAGAGAACCTGAAAAGAGAAGAGAGAACCGAAAAGAGAAGAGAGAACCTGGAAAGAGAAGAGAGAACCTGAAAGAGAAAGAACCTGAAAAGAAAGAGAAACTTGAAAAGAGAAGAAAAGAGAAGAGAGAAACCGGAAAAAGAGAAGAGAGACCCAGAAAAAGAGAAGAGAGAACCTGAAAAGAGAAGAGAGAAAAGAGAGGAACCTGGAAAAGAACTGGAAAAGTGGAAGAGAACCTTGAAAAGAGAAGAGAGAACCTGAAAAGAGAAGAGAGAACCTGAAAAGAGAAGAGAACCTGGAAAAGAGAACCTGAAAAGAGAAGAGAGAGAAAAAGAGAAGAGAGAACCTGGAAAAGAGAAGAGAGAACCCGAAAAAAGAGAAGAGAGAACCTGGAAAGAAAGAGAGAACCTGAAAAGAGAAGAGAGAACCCGGAAAAGAACCTGGAAAAGAGAAGAGAGAACCTGGAAAAGAGAAGAGAGAACCTGAAAAGAGAGAAGAGAACAACCGAAAAGAGAAGAGAGAACCTGGAAAAGAGAAGAGAGAACCTGGAAAAGAGAAGAGAACCTGGAAAAGAGAAGAGAGAACCTGGAAAAGAGAAGAGAGAACCTGAAAAGAGAAAAAGAGGAAGAGAACCTAGAAAAGAGAAGAGGAACCTGGAAAAGAAGAGAAGAGAGAAACCTGGAGAAGAGAGAAACTTGAAAAGAGAAGAGAGAACCTGGAAAGAGAAGAGAAACCTGGAAAGAGAAGAGAGACCTGGAAAGAGAAGAGAGAACCTGGACCTGGAAAGAGAAGAGAGAGAAGAGAGAACCTGGAAAGAGAAGAGAGAACCTGGAAAAGAGAAGAGAGAACCTGAAAAGAGAAGAGAGAAAAAGAGAAGAGAGAACCCGGAAAAGAAAAGAGAGAACCTGGAAAAGAGAAAAACTGAAAAGAGAAGAGAGAACCTGAAAAGAGAAGAGAGAACCCGGAAAAGAAAGAGAGAACTCGAAAGAGAAGAGAGAACCTGAAAAGAGAAGAGAGGAACCTGGAAAAGAGAAGAGAGAACCTGGAAAGAGAAGAGAACCCCGAGAACCTGGAAAAGAGAAGAGAGAACCTGAAAAAGAAGAGAGAGAACCCGGAAAAGAGAAGAGAGAACCTGGAAAAGAGAAGAGAGAACCTGGAGAAGAGAGAACCTGGAAAAGAGAGAGAACCTGAAAAGAGAAGAGAGAACCTGGAAAAGAGAAGAGAGAACCTGAAAAGAGAAGAGAGAACCTGGAAAAGAGAAGAGAGAACCTGAAAAGAGAAGAGAGAACCTGAAAAGAGAAGAGAGAAAGAAAAGAGAGAACCTGAAAAGAGAAGAGAGAACCCCGGAAAAGAGAAGAGAGAACCTGAAAAGAGAAGAGAAACCTGGAAAGAGAAGAGAGAACCTAGAAAAGAGAAGAGAGAACATGGAAAAGAGAAGAGAGAACCTGAAAAGAGAAGAGAGAACCTGGAAAAGAGAAAGAGAACCTGGAAAAGAGAAGAGAGAACCTGAAAAAGAAGAAGAGAGAGAACCTGAAAAGAGAAGAGAGAACCTGGAAAAGAGAAGAGAGAACCTGAAAAGAGAAGAGAGAACCTGGAAAGAGAAGAGAGAACCTGAAAAAGAGAAGAGAGAACCTGGAAAAGAGAAGAGAGAACCCAGAGAAAAGAGAAAGAGAACCTGAAAAGAGAAGAGAGAACCTGAAAAGAGAAGAGAGAACCTGGAAAAGAGAAGAGAGAACCCTGAGAAGAGAGAACCTGAAAAGAGAAGAGAGAACCTTGAAAAGAGAAGAGAGAACCTGGAAAGAGAAGAGAACCTGAAAAGAGAAGAGAGAAGCAGAACCTGAAAAGAGAAGAGAGAACCGGAAAAGAGAAGAGAGAACCCGGAAAAGAGAAGAGAGAACCCAAAAAGAGAAGAGAGAACCCGGAAAAGAGAGAACCTGAAAAGAGAGAACCTGGAAAGAGAAGAGAACCTGAAAAGAGAAGAGAGAACCTGGAAAAGAGAAGAGAGAACCGGAAAAGAGAAGAGAGAACCTGAAAAGAGAAGAGAGAACCTGGAAAGAGAACCTGGAAGAAGAGAGAACCTGAAAAGAGAACCTGAAAAAGAGAGAGAGAACCTGGAAAGAGAGAAGAGAGAACCTGGAAAAGAGAAGAGAGAACCTGAAAAGAGAAGAGAGAACCTGGAAAAGAGAAGAAAAAGAAGAAGAGAACCTGAAAAGAGAGAACCTGGAAAGAGAAGAGAGAACTGAAAAGAGAAGAGAGAACGGAAAAGAGAACCTGGAAAAGAGAAGAGAGAACCTGGAAAAGAGAAGAGAGAACCCGGAAAAGAGAAGAGAGGACCCGGAAAAGAGAAGAGAGAACCCAGAAAAGAGAAGAGAGAACCTGGAAAAGAGAAGAGAGAACCGAAAAGAGAACCTGAAAAGAGAAGAAAAGAGAGAACCTGGAAAAGAGAACCTGGAAAAGAGAAGAGAGAACCCAGAAAAGAGAAGAGAGAACCTGGAAAAGAGAACCTGGAAAAGAGAAGAGAGAACCTGGAAAAGAGAAGAGAGAACCCGGAAAAGAGAAGAGAGAACCCGGAAAAGAGAAGAGAGAACCTGGAAAAGAGAAGAGAGAAACCGGAAAAGAGAAGAGAGAACCTGAAGAAAAGAGAACCTGGAAAAGAGAAGAGAAAACCCGAAAAGAGAAGAGAGAACCTGAAAAGAGAAGAGAGAACCCGGAAAAGAGAAGAGAAACCTGGAAAAGAGAAGAGAAGAAAAGAGAACCTGGAAAGAGAAGAGAGAACCTGGAAAGAGAAGAAGAGAACCTGGAAAGAGAAGAGAGAACCTGGAAAAGAGAAGAGAGAACCTGGAAAAGAAGAAGAGAGAACCTGGAAAAGAGAACCCAAAAAGAAGAGAGAACCTGGAAAAGAGAAGAGAGAACCTGGAAAAGAGAAGAGAGAACCTGAAAAGAGAAGAGAGAACTGGAAAAGAGAAGAGAGAACCTGGAAAAGAGAAGAGAGAACCTGAAAAGAGAAGAAAGAAAGAGAAACTGGAAAAGAGAAGAGAGAACCTGGAAAGAGAAGAGAGAAAAGAGAAGAGAGAACCTGGAAAAGAGAAGAAAAGAGAACCTGGAAAAGAGAAGAGAGAACCTGGAAAGAGAAGAGAGAGAGAACCCCTGAAAAGAGAAGAGAGAACCTGGAAAAAGAGAGAACCCTGAAAGAGAAGAGAGAACCTGGAAAAGAGAAGAGAGAACCGGAAAAGAGAAGAGAGAACCTGGAAAAAAGAGAACCTGAAAAAGAGAAGAGAGAACTGGAAGAGAAGAGAGAACCTGGAAAAGAGAAGAGAGAACCCGGAAAAGAGAAGAGAGAACCTGGAAAAGAGAACCTGGAAAAGAGAAGAGAGAACCTGGAAAAGAGAAGAGAGAACCTGGAAAAGAGAAGAGAGAACCTGGAAAAGAGAAGAGAGAACCCGGAAAAGAGAAGAGAGAACCTGGAAAAGAGAAGAGAGAACCTGGAAAAGAGAAGAGAGAAACCTGGAAAAGAGAAGAGAGAACCTGGAAAAGAAGAGAAGAGAAACCTGAAAAGAGAAGAAAGGAAAAGAGAAGAGAGAACCTGGAAAAGAGAAGAGAACCTGGAAAAGAAGAGAGAGAACCCCGAAAGAGAACCTGGAAAAGAGAAGAGAGAACCCGGAAAAGAGAAGAGAGAACCTGGAAAAGAGAAGAGAGAACCCGGAAAAGAGAAGAGAGAACCTGGAAAAGAGAACCTGGAAAAGAGAAGAGAGAACCTGGAAAAGAGAAGAGAGAACCCGGAAAAGAGAAGAGAACCTGAAAAGAGAAGAGAGAACCCGGAAAAGAGAAGAGAGAACCTGGAAAAGAGAACCTGGAAAAGAGAAGAGAGAACCCGGAAAAGAGAAGAGAGAACCCGGAAAAGAGAACCTGGAAAAGAGAACCTGGAAAAGAGAAGAGAGAACCTGGAAAAGAGAAGAGAGAACCCGGAAAAGAGAAGAGAGAACCTGAAAAGAGAAGAGAGAACCTGGAAAAGAGAAGAGAGAACCTGGAAAAGAGAACCCTGAAAGAGAGAGAACCTGGAAAAGAGAAGAGAGAACCCTGGAGAAGAGAGAACCTGAAAGAGAAACCTGGAAAGAGAAGAGAGAACCTGGAAAAGAGAAGAGAGAACCTGGAAAAGAGAAGAGAGAACCTGGAAAAGAGAAGAGAGAACCTGGAAAAGAGAAGAGAGAACCTGGAAAAGAGAAGAGAGAACCTGGAAAAGAGAAGAGAGAACCTGGAAAAGAGAACCTGGAAAAGAGAAGAGAGAACCTGGAAAAGAGAAGAGAGAACCCGGAAAAGAGAAGAGAGAACCTGGAAAAGAGAAGAGAGAACCTGGAAAAGAAGAGAACCCGGAAAGAGAAGAACCTGGAAAAAAGAAGAGAGAACCTGGAAAAGAGAAGAACCTGAAAAGAAAGAGAGAACCCGGAAAAGAGAAGAGAGAACCTGGAAAAGAGAAGAGAGAGAAAAGAGAACCCGGAAAAGAGAAGAGAGAACCTGAGAGAAGAGAGAACCTGGAAAAGAGAAGAGAACCTGGAAAAGAGAAAGAGAACCTGGAAAGAGAAGAGAGAACCTGAAAAGAGAAGAGAACCTGGAAAAGAGAAGAGAGAACCTGGAAAAGAGAAGAGAGAAAGAGAGAACCTGGAAAGAGAAGAGAGAACCTGGAAAAGAGAAGAAGAACCTGGAAAAGAGAAGAGAACCGAAAAGAGAAGAGAGAACCTGGAGAAGAGAGAACCTGGAAAAGAGAAGAGAGAACCTGAAAAGAAAGAGAGAACCTGGAAAGAGAAGAGAAACCCGGAAAGAGAAGAGAGAACCTGAAAAGAAGAGAACCTGGAAAGAGAAGAGAGAACCTGGAAAAGAAGAGAACCTGGAAAAGAGAAGAGAGAACCTGGAAAGAGAAGAGAGAACCTGGAAAGAGAAGAGAGAACCTGGAAAGAGAAGAGAGAACCTGGAAAAGAGAAGAGAGAACCTGGAAAAAGAAGAGAGAACCTGGAAAGAGAGAACCTGAAAAGAAGAGAAACCTGAAAAGAGAAGAGAGAACCTGGAAAGAGAAAGAGAACCTGGAGAAGAGAGAACCTGGAAAAGAGAGAGAACCTGAAAGAGAACCTGAAAAGAGAAGAGAGAACCTGAAAAGAAAGAGAAGAGAGAACCCGAAAAGAGAGAGAGGAAAGAGAACCTGGAAAGAGAAGAGAGAACCTGGAAAAGAGAAGAGAGAACCTGGAAAAAGAGAGAGAGAACCGGAAAAGAGAGAGAGAACCTGAGAGAACCTGGAAAAAGAGAAGAGAACCTGGAAAGAGAGAACCTGGAAAAGAGAAGAGAGAACCTGGAAAAGAGAAGAGAGAACCTGGAAAAGAGAAGAGAGAACCTGGAAAAGAGAAGAGAGAACTGGAAAGAGAAAAACCTGAGAAGAGAAACCTGAAAAGAGAAGAGAAGAGAAGAGAGAACCCGGAAAAGAGAAGAAAAGAGAGAGAACCTGGAAAAGAAAGAGAGAACCCGGAAAAGAGAAGAGAGAACCTGAAAAGAGAAGAGAGAACCTGGAAAAGAGAAGAGAACCTGGAAAAGAGAAGAGAGAACCCGGAAAAAGAGAAACCTGAAAGAGAGAACCTGGAAAAGAGAAACCTGAAAAAGAGAAGAGAGAACCTGAAAAGAGAAGAGAGAACCTGAAAAGAAAGAGAGAACCTGAAAAGAAGAAAAGAGAACCTGAAAAGAGAAGAGAACCTGGAAAAGAGAAGAGAGAACCTGAAAAGAGAAGAGAGAGAACCTGAAAAGAGAAGAGAGAACCGGAAAAGAGAAGAGAGAACCTGGAAAAGAAAAGAGAACCCGGAAAAGAGAAGAGAGAACCTGGAAAAGAGAAGAGAGAACCCGGAAAAGAGAAGAGAGATCCTGGAAAAGAGAATAGAGATCCTGGAAAAGAGAAGAGAGAACCTCAAAAAGAGAAGTGAGAACCCGGAAAAGAGAAGAGAGAACCTGGAAAAGAGAAGAGAGAACCTGGAAAAGAGAAGAGAGAACTCGGAAAAGAGAAGAGAGAACCTGGAAAAGAGAAGAGAGAACCTGGAAAAGAGAAGAGAGAACCTGGAAAAGAGAAGAGAGAACCTGGAAAAGAGAAGAGAGAACCTGGAAAAGAGAAGAGAGAACCTGGAAAAGAGAAGAGAGAACCCGGAAAAGAAAAGAGAGAACCTGGAAAAGAGAAGAGAGAACCTGGAAAAGAGAAGAGAGAACCTGGAAAAGAGAAGAGAGAACCTGGAAAAGAGAAGAAAGAACCTGGAAAAGAGAAGTGAGAACCTGGAAAAGAGAAGAGAGAACCTGGAAAAGAGAAGATAGAACCCGGAAAAGAGAAGAGAGAACCTGGAAAAGAGAAGAGAGAACCCGGAAAAGAGAACATTATAGACAAAAACGTTTGCGCCTTCTCTTTAAAATGTATACTTTTCTCTCGCTGGAACAACTATAACCTCTCCCTCATATATATATATATATATATATATATATATATATATATATATATATACGTTTTATTAAATTTAACCGACAAAGTCTGTTTTATATTTCATTGTTTATTTTCCCATTTTTTAATAAAATATCAAGATATTGATATCTTGGATATCATGTTCGGAATTTTGAATAAACTTTCCGAAGTTTATGTTTTTCTATTCTTTTGCACAATTACTTTCGACTATCTCTTTCCTTACCAAGAATCATGTGCTGTCAGTGTGGTTGACAAGATTCTGTTGGCTACATTCTGGTATTTTATAGAGAGCTGAAAGTTTTCAAATCAGTCCAGTGACGCCATGTGTAACGTTTAAAGAACGCATGTTTTGGGTTTTTTTTTTTCCATGTCAAATATTTTATGCACTCTTTAAGATACCATCTGTTGTGGTGAAAGGTATTTATTTAATGTGGTTTGTTTGTTTTTGAAAAGAATAAAATATATTTCAGCACAGAAGACGTTATCTTGCAGTGTGTATAAAATATTTAATATGGAACAAACTAAACGATAAATAAGAGAGGAAAACAATAACGTAATCAATTTGTTGACTTCCTACGAATTTACATCCGGGTTCTTACAAACATTTTGCCTTTCTTGGTAGATCATTTATTATCGTAATGTCGTATCCTTAATAAGAAAAGTGATAAAAATAAGCAAAACAACAACAACAACAATAACAAAAGATAAATGAAATCGGATACACTACATAATCAAACACATTATGAAAAAAATTATAAAAATTTAATTTAATATTTCAGAGTCTCCTCTCTTGGTGTATATATAGATGGCCACTCATATTCGAGAATAGCCTTCTACTAGGGCGGCTGGCCAATCCCTATTGCAGACGCTTGCTCAGGTGCATTTTTGTGTTTATTCAACACCCACAGAGGCCATCTGTGGTTTATACCACAACTATGCTGAGCAAACCTTAGTTACAGTTTCTGGGAGAGAAAAGTGTTATCTGGCGTGATTAACAATCTGAACAAGGCCATCACGCTCAAGTGCTCGGTCACGATTACTTTTGAATTCGTGCTAGCAGAGCTATCGACGGTACCCAAGGGTTCTGTCCACTCAATTACACAATTTCACTCACAAGGCTTGGGTCAACCCGTGGTATGGTTTTCAGGCACTTTCCAGAGGTGATCGACCCATCCAGTCCGATAACATCAGGAAGTCGACCATGGGGAGATTCGAACCCGGGTCTTATGGTCAGGATGCAGACGTTCTAACCACACATAAAATCTTGAAGGTCGAAACGCGTCACGCAAAAAAAAAAAAAAAAAAAAAAATTCCACTCTGTCATAGAGTTTTCTAAAACAAAAGTGTAGTAAGGAAAGCGATACTAGACTTGCGAAATCTATTTGTTCGAAAAATTCTTTTTAACGGAAGATTTCATAAATTTCAACTGTCAGTAACACTTGATGTGATCAGCCTGGGGCGCCCACCGTGCAGAAAACGTCGTCATTCCAAGTTCATTGTGCCGATTATTCTCAACCCTCTTATAGGATATGCTAATAGCATTGGTTATTTTTTTTTATAATCAATCGCCTGTTATCCATTGCCACGTGGTGAACACAATTATTGTTTTCCTCTGTGATGGCAATTGCAGGACACTCCTTTCCACTCCTATATCCCGCTACCACTTCTACACTGTTGATAAAGCTGGTGCCTCATCCCCTAATATGCCCACCATATCCGCATGAATGTCCTCGTGGGCTAGACCCTTTTTCCCACAGGTATTTGATAACACCAATATGGCAAATTTTGTGCATTTTCAAAAGAAGTTGCTACATGTTACTTTTGAATCCTATTTTGAACAGACAGATTTCAGTTTAGCTGGAAAGAAACAATGCAATTTTTAATAAGAAGTGTTGAAATTTAATGCTTGCAAGATTTCACAGTGCTGTCATTATTCCTTCATAGTTAGCCTATGAACCTTTCAGTCCGTATTAGATGATACCAAAAAGCTATACAGCACTCACAATACGATTAATAAATTCTACTATGATACAAAAGAAAATATCAACCAAATTCACTAATGGAAAATATATTTTAAAATATGCATAAAATATTTATAATAAATATAAATCTATAATAAATGCCAATATCAGTGTACCACACTATTTCAACGAATGCCCAATGTTTCCTTATAGGGAAACGGTCAATCTCACTACTGCCATTTGAAATTACATGACTTGACTCTGATAGATTTTGACCTGCTCATCAGTATATTACTAAAGATTCATTCTGTTACCATTAGAACTAGATGTGATCGACATCTTGACTGCATACCAAGTGGAGACTAGTATGTCAGTTAGTCTCCAATAAAAAAGACGTTCTTGTTCTGTATAAAAATTTACCAATTTTTGTTGAGTGTGACACAGACCTGAACTAAAGAAATTGAAGATAGGAAAAATGCATTGCACCGATCTTCCAAGTAACATCAGAAACCTTGGCTTGTAGCAGGGCTCAAACGCGAACTACCACGCGGAAAATAGGCAGCTATCTAACACACCAACCTATCACTAGTAAACATTTGGTTAGTCTGAAACAAGGCCACGGATTGGGGCGCCCAATGAAAATCAAACTCACTACGGTAGTAATGTTTTCAAGATTATCTTGAAAACTAATGCTCCACAGTCTTTTTGATAATTGCTAAGCTTAGAGTAGTCTGGCTCAAGGCCAGCAGTTTGGAGGTTGCTAAAGAAGTTGTATGAGCCTATTTTCACGGCATAAGACCTCTTGATTCGATTAGTCTGAAACAAGGCCACTAATGTGAAGAATATTCACTACATTCCTCGTATTTTCTGTTTTTTCTTCTTTTTCTTTTTTCATTTTCTTTCTCTCTCTATTTCATCCACTCCTATTTTCTATTCTTCTCTTTCTCTCATCACCTACTCTCTATTTACTCGTTTCTATCTTTTACCTTCTCTTTCCTATCCACCTCTATTCCCGCCCAATCTTCCTTTCTTTCATTTTCTTTCGCTGACACTTTCTTCCTTGCTTTTTTCTCTTCTCTTCTCTCACTCTGTCCATACGACGCTATCTCCCTATTCCTTATTCTGTCACGCAAGCTCAGTTTCATTCTTTCTCTCTCTCTCTCTCTCTCTTTCTCTCTCTCTCTCTTCCTGTGACGCTTTCTTCCTTGCTTCATTTCTTCTCTCTTGCTCACGCGCTCTCTCTCTCTCTCACTTTAACTGTGACTCTTTCTTCCTTGTTTTAATTTCTTATTTCTCTCTCTCTCTCTCTCTCTCTCTCTTTATGCGACACTCTTGTTTTCTTTTCTTCTCTCTCACTCTCTTCCTGCGATGCAATCTCTTTCTTTCCGTGATTTTTTTTCTTTTCTCTCGCTCACACTCTCTTTCTCTCTTCCTTGCTTTCTTCTCTGCTCTCTCGGTCTCTCTCTCTCATTCTTCCTCACTCTTTCTTCCTTGCTTAATATCTGTTCTCTCTCTTTCTCTCTCTTCCTCCGACACTCTCTCTTTCTTCCTTGCTTTCTTCTCTGCTCTCTCTCTCTCATTCTTCCTGTGACACTCTCTCTTTCTTCCTTGCTTTCTTCTCTGCTCTCTCTCTCTCATTCTTCCTGTGACATTCTTTTCTTCCTTGTGACTTCTCTCTCTTCTCTCTTCTCATTCTTCCTTCTCTGCTCCCCTGCTTTCTTCTCTGCTCTCTCTCATTCTTCCTGTGACACTCTCTCTTTCTTCCTTGCTTTCTTCTCTGCTCTCTCTCTCTCTCTCTCTTCCTCCGACACTCTCTCTTTCTTCCTTGCTTAATTCTCTTTTCTCTCTCTCTCCTCCTGTGAGCTTTCTCTCTCTTTCTTTCTTTTTCTTTCAGACACGAAAAAATGATACGACGCCTTTGCAAAAAGTACGTACAACAAAACGAATATTTATGTTCTAATATGATGTATTAAGATAAACTATATTTTTATGCCAATAAACACGGAAAACCCACGTAGATGATAAAAAATTAGTATTATGACCGATATACGTATATAGGTTAGTACATGTGATCGGGACAATATAGATAAAGAGGTAGAAATATTAGTGTGAGCATGCATGTGATACACACACACGCACACACACACACACATTTATGTATACATATATTTATACTAGCAGCATGGCCCGGCGTTGCCCGTGCTTGATTCAAAAATAGTACGACTAATACAGCAATCGCTATCACTTGACTTAAAATATTTTTGCCCTTCCTTGCCTTTAGAGGAGTGCCCTTTGCCGTGCTGATGTTGTTACATGCCTTACTTCTTGCCTATCTCACACTGCCGACTTTTTCTAAGCTCTATAGTAAACATTAAATCTGTTACGAAAAAAGAACTAAACAAAATGACACAAAACGATCAGCTTTAAAAAAGGACTCGTAACTGGAAAAACCGAATGAAAAAAGAATGTTGACAACAATACTTTTTCACACCCAACCCAGTTCTGCAGAATCAGAATCAACGTTGAGTTAAAGCAAGCGAATGGGCCAATTGGAGTAAAGTGCCATGCACATTTAAATTTTTCCCACTTGTGACGAATGCAGCTATCGATTTTTTTGCATGTTAGCATGCTAGTTAACATTCGTGTCAGTCAACTGTTGGCTCTCACGCTGGCCAATAGAATCTTCCTGCCTATTCGTGGTAGCCAGCTATTGGCTCTCACTCTGGCCAGTAGAAAATGGCCGCAAACTACATGAAAACTGCCGTAGAAGCATGAAAAAATCGATTATTTTCACTATCGATGGGAGTTGGGAAATGGAAAGTCGGTCTTGGCCTTCCCGCTAACTTGAAGCATGTGCATGTAAAGTTTGGTGCAAATCCGTCGAAAATTGCGGCCGTGCATTCGTTACACACATCCTGCCTTATATATATATATATATATATATATATATATATATATATACATACATACATACATACATTCTACGCTTCAATGATCAGGCTGATATAGATAAAACGGTAGAAATATTATTCATACCTGTGATATATATATATATATATATATATATATATATATATATATATATATATATATATTCCCCTGCAATCCTCTCTCACAAGTTTCTGTCATTGCTCTATCGCTACCTCCATGGAAAGTGCTTAGACGAATTACATTACAGGAGATAGCGATTAACATTGCATTTAAATTTTTGAACATCAAAGTTGACTGGAAAGCATTAAGCTGTAAGAGAGTTCCACAAATATGAGAAAAGAAACTGTTAACATAGAACTTGCGGTTACATCTAGAAAATTCAACTGTAAATCGATGAGACCTTATCGCCAATCTAGTACTGAATTTAAATTCATGGTGTCTAGGTACAATAGCGAAGAATTCATCGGAACAATTACCATGAAAGTATCAATAGAAAAGAAACAGGGGAGTGACTAAAGACGAGATGCCAGGTCAGGACCAGTAATATTGATGATTCTTCTTTCGGTTTTATCAAAAATGTCTAAATATAGTGCAGGAGTATTTATTTATTTTTATTTTTATTATTCTTTTAATTAATTATTTATTTAGTTATTCTTCATTTTTTTAATTATTATTATTTTTATTTAATTTTAGTTTTTACCGTTTTACATACATATTCTTAAATCTTTTTTACATACATATTCTTAATTTTTTTAAAAATCTTCATAAATTTTAGATATTTTTATGTTACTTTTTCTTTATATTATTTTTATATTTACTAGCATAGATTTGGGAATCTTTTTAAAAAAAGAAGATATATTTTCTGTTCTTTAGTTTTTAACAAATATTTATTATTTTCTATTTTAATTTTCAAATTGTTTGAACTCTTTAATTTTGTGATTTCTTTTCAATCGGACTTGGGATGTTAAAATTTAAAATATAGATCAAAATTATATTAACCGTCTCTGTTTAAGCCAGATTTTTTCCGTCTCTCCCTCCTCCTTTTATAACTGAGGGTTGGGTTAATTTAATATCTATTTTTTCAACAGCTGCTTCGTTTCTTTTCTTTCTTTTCTCTTTTTCTTTTCTTTTTTTTTTTAAAATGTTTAAATTTTAAGTTTCCAATTTTATACCTGCAAACTTCTGAGTCGAAAATGTCAACATAATAACGTGCTTAGTAAAACATCTATTCTGATGAGGTAAATTTGGATTTCCATTTTATGTAATTTATATGCTCTGTTATAATAAATACATTGAGCTCTTTTTGTGGATCAGTTTTAATATTTTATATTATTAGGATTCACTTGGATTATATACCAATGAATTATGATGTATATATGTGTGTGTGTGTGTGTGTGTGTGTGTGTGTGTGTGTGTGTGTGTGTGTGTGTGTGTGTGTGTGTGAAAAGTGTCTCGCAAAAGCGTGAAACCCAGGGTCACAAACTCACATCAATCCAACCAAATATATATATATATATATATATATATATATATATATATATATATATATATATATCCATGCAAACAAAACAAACTATGGTTGTTGCAATGCCCGCATAACCAATCTAAAACAAAGAATTACCATCTTTGTTATTTAATTTATTATTTAATTTATTGTAATGTACTTGTAATCTCTGATGATGGCTTATGTAAGCCGAAAGCTTAGACAGGATTAGCAATAAAAACATGTTTGTTTGTCTCCTTCCCCACCTCTCTCTCTCTCTCTCTCTCTCTCACTCTCTGCCTTCCCCCCTCTCTCTCTCTCTCTCTCTCTATCACTTGCTTCTTTCCTCACCCTTTTCTATATATCTCTTTTTCTCCACACACACACACACACACACACACACACACACACACACACACACATATATATATATATATATAATTGTGTATTTGGGTAGCGATTCCTCTTTTATACAAGTTTCATTAAAAACGACTGACACGGTGATGAGGTTAATTTTTTATTTAATTTTTCCTGTTTTTACCATTTTTTTCCTTTCTGGGCAGTAAGGTAGAAATTGTCCAAATGTTCTGTAATTCCGAGCGCTATCGGCTATATTTTTAGCCATTATCAAGGATGATTTTTCTTTTTACTTTTAATTGAATATATGGATTGTTTTATGTATGTGTCTCGACTTATAGGAATGTTTTATTTTTCCATTTTTCTAATCAGCACATTGTCGCCAGGTTCATGTTGTTATAATATTTATATAAGGAACGCTAAAAAGTTCTTGCCTGGTCCACTTTCCAAGGTATCAAATGGGCAGTTTTTCTGGAAAGGCATTTTGAACGAATCGAAATATGTTCAGTTGTTCCTCGTAGATATAAAAACATATTTAGTTATGTTATGATTCCAATAAGTAATTTAGATTTCTAATTTACTATAAAATGTCCAAAAGCAATAACCTAATCATTACCAATAATTCGATACCTCAAAAATCCACCCAAGACTATAAAAACGGTTTAATTCTTACACTGGTCACATATATCAGGTCATCCCATAAGTTCTGTTCGAATTTTAACTTTTTGTTAAAATGAACGAAATTTAAAGAGTATTTTATAATGTCTAATGGAACTGAACATTATTTTTATGTTTAGATGCATTTAAACTGATCAAATTTTATTTCAGAGAACAATAAAATTAAATTTTGTTTGATTAAAACCCTGTTAACATGGAAGTACCCAAGAATCATTTGAGGCACATAATGCTTTATGAGTTCAAGAAATGAAACTCAGCAGCCGAAACGGCTAGAAACATTCACTCAGTTTATGGAGAGGAATGTGTGAATGAAAGAACTTGCAGAAGATGGTTTGCAAAATTCAGAGGTGGAGATTTCACCCTTGAAGATGAAGATCGAACCGGGCGTCCAGTTGAGTTTGATGTAAAGCTTCTTGAAGCAGCTCTTGAAGAAAATCCTGCTTTATCAGTTGAGGAATTGGCAGTGGTTCTCAGTTCAAACCATACAACTGTTCATCGTCATCTTCAACAACTTGGAAAAGTTCCTAAACTTGGAAAATGGGTGCCTCGTGAATTGTCTGAAAACAACCTCAAATCCCGAGTTGACATCTGCTCTCCATTCTTGCAAACTTGTTTCACCGTTTTTGCATAGACTTGTGACTGGCGACGAAAAATTGATCTTTTATCGAAATGTTAAGCGTCGTAGACAGTGGCTTGGTAAAGGGGAAGGACCCCAGCCACAGCCGAGAAGGGAACTTCATGGGCAAAAGTTTTTCTTTCAATCTGGTGGGATCGCCAAGGAATAATCCACTTTGAATTCTTACCACCTAATGCAACAATTAATGCTCAAATATACTGTCAGCAATTAGAGCATTTGAACCAAGCTTTGAGGAAAAAGCTCTAGTAAATCGAAAAGAGGCGATGTTTCATCAGGACAATGCGCTACCCCACACAGCAAGAATCACGTCACAAAAGATCGAAGAACTTGGTTGGGAGAAAATTCCTCATCCACCTTATTCTCCCGATCTTGCTCCTTCAGACTACCATTTGTTTCGTAGCTTGCAGAATCATTTGGAAGAAACAGCTTTTGTAACACAGGAAGAGGTTAAAACTGACATTTGTGAGTTCTTCGAATCAAAGCCAAAGGAATTTTACAGTAATGGAATTAGTAAACTTGTTAATAGATGGAAGGAAGTCATAGATTATCAGGGAAAATACATTGTTTATTGAATCTGGAATTAAATGTAAAATACATTGTTGATTGAATCTGTAATTAAATGTAACATTTGGTCACTTGTTTTCTTTATTCAAAATTCGGACAGAAGTTATGGGATGACCTGATACATCACACTGTCTTGCAGGTTAACTTGTCACTTATTGCACTATATTGGCCACATATCGATCA